CAAGAAATAGATAGCAATGCTAGTCACAGTTAAAGCTGCCTGGTGTCACATCATCCATCATTCACTGCCTGCAAGATGTGAAACGCGTATAGGTGTGAGTGGGGGAGACAAAACACTGTGACAGCGTTGTCGTTTTTTTTGTCGAGGAGTGGGATGCTAAGAAGAACAGCGCGGGTGGGGGAACAAGAAGCTTACTCATACATTTTTTAGATTTGACAATACTCAACCTCTGAGAGGGTAAGCGTGTGCATGCATGTGTATGTTAGCATGTGTGTGTGTGAATGTGTGTGTGTCTGTATAAAAGTCTGAGAATGTCTGGAAAGCCTCATCTATTTAAAGCGTGTTCCAGAGGTATGCAAGTGCTGAGGCAGCTCCTTTGCCTGTTTGCTCTCTCTAACCCCCCTCCACTTTACTCCCTTTTATTCCATCCCCGTCTGTGCTCCAACAACCAAATTGGCTTGATATCATTCATAAACTCAGGCATCATCTGGGCTCCTATTTAAACAAAGCAATATTTTCAGAAAAGAAGCAATAACATGTCTAACAGGAAAAACGCTCATAGGGACATATAAAAAATGTATCTTGTTATTATGTCGCCCGACTTAGTTTTTCTGCCACTGCATGTGCAATTCCATTCTTGAAATATATATAACTTCCCAAAATGTTCAATCCATTAGGGCACATGCTAGGTTGCATGATTTTATGAGCAGCAAATATGGAGTCATTTATTTAGGTGGAGCCCTCCATCTTGCTTTATCCTTCTATTGAATGTGATGGTTGAACTTAGGAATGACCCCTAAAGAGCAATACTAATATGCTGTGCTTATCCCTTGCTCTAGTCACCCATACATGTGTCTCCTCATACATCCATACATGAGTTCATCCATCTGCTTACCTATGAGGATGAGAATGCAGACCAGAAGGGCTATGAGTGCCCCGGGGCTGAGAGCCGCACTCATCGAATAGGCTGTGGCGTTGCAGGATTGGATGGCTCCCTCTGTGTTGCAAAAGGAAAAATAACATTTAGTGTAAATAATTGGACAAGGATTAGGTACTGTATTTTTAAAGGTCCCCTATTTTACAGTTTTTCCTCAATATATTATAGGTCTCAGATATATACAAATCATGTCTCTGAAGGGTTTGGCTCAAAATACCAACCAGATCATCATAGCATCCCATAAACCCCTCTGTTTCAGCCCTGTTTCAAAAGTGCTGATTCTCTGTCTGTCACTTTAGATGAAAAATAAGGAGCCACTCCCCACGCCCCTCTGAGAGATACTTGGTTAAAAAAAACACAATAGTTCTCTAGGAGGAGATAAGGTGGACAGGGCTTACCTTGGTTGGTGATTGGCTAATGGTTACACAAGCCAAAAAAACGTTATGACATCACAAAGTGGCCAAAATCTGATCTGCTCATTTTCAGACAGTTTTTATATAAATGGATCAGGACAAAAAGAGAGAGAATCTTTTTTCCTGAAACCTTCAGAATATCTTTACGCAGAGGGGACACATGTTTATGTATAAAAGACATGACAAACTGGATTTTGCATAATAGGTGACCTTTAAGAGAAAAAAACAGTTTTTATCAGGCATATCGTTTCACACCACTGAAAACCCTTCCGAGGGACAATAGTGTGCATATTTGTGGCTTTGTGTTACATTGTTTTTTAAAATATAAGCTGATAAGAGCTGTTTTCTGAGCAAACCAATGGCACGTAGGTGACCTTTTATAGCACTGCTGCTACTGCTGCTGATGAAGGTGACAGTGATGATAATGTTAATAATGGTGCAGTGGCTCTCACCTGGGTCGCAGCCGCAGACATGAATGGTCAGGGTGCCTGTGGAGCTGAGGGAAGGAGGCCCGCTGTCTACCACCAGGATAGGCAGGAAGTACACATTCTGCTCATGGCGGTTAAAGCCTGACCGCTGGGTCCGGATTCCAGCTGTGTTGTCTGTGTGTGTGTGTGTGTGTGTGTGTGTGTGTGTGTGTGTGTGTGTGTGTGTGTGTGTGTGTGTGTGTGTGTGTGTGTGTGTGTGTGTGTGTGTGTGTGTGTGTGTTGGGGGTAGGGGATAAGAGAAACAAGGATAATTACACATGAGCAACTTAATATTTGAAAAACAAACTCTGCTCACTGATGCTTGGATTCATCTGCAGTTGGATTGATAATACTCCATGTAGCGAGAGCTTGAATGACTTTTTTATTTTTATTTGAACTCGACACTGTACTTATAGAAGTAAACACATATAACAGCAGGACAGTTGTGTATATAGGCCTATTCATCCATACTATAGTAAAAGGGTCAACATAAAAAAAGCACTATCCTTGTCTTCTTCTGAATAAATCATTAGCCAAAATGCATACTTCAAGGACTTTAGACAAAGGGTGGCACGATTGTCACGTATATCTCGGGGTAGAATGATTTCACTGGGGAAGACTGCTTTGTGCTATTAAGATTTATCATTTTTTTCTTTATAAAAAACAGCAGAGAAAATGAGTGAGAGAGCCACTGTTTGAAATTAAACTTCACCGGTGTGTATATGAGCTTTCTCCCGGAGACATAGATAAATGTAGCACAGAAAACAGGAGGAGGCTTTGACAAATAGACTCAGAAGCTTTGTGAGTAGACTTGCCGATACCAAGCCATCCATCTCCCAGAGCATATATCACCGTTATCCATGTCGCCCTAAAGCTCCTCTGGCAAATGTAGAACAATCTTCATATTACTGTTTATGTGCGGGAACGGTACGCCCATGAATATGTCCTTTTGACTTTTAAACAGCACTCTCCTCATCGGCTGTCTTCTTTAAACAAACATCTCTAAATACATATAATCTAAGGAATCTTGTGTAATTTTTGAAACTCCAAAAACATATGCTTGAAGTGAAGTGAACTGGATAACAAGTCATTTTAACAACACTACACATGGAAGAGTGATGACCCTAGTGGGAGGCGGATATTGTCTAAAAAGGTCAAAGCTAAAATAAAAATTGTCAACAGCCATTCTAGTGGATCTGTGAGTCTGTACTTTGGCACAGTGGTGCTTTGTGCTAAAGTCAAATGTCAGCATGCTAACACCAACAATGCTACCATGCTGATGTCTAGCAGGTATTATGTTTTCCATGCTCACCATCTAAGTTCAGCATACTGATATTTGCTGATTAGCAATAAACACAAAGTATGGCTGAGGCAGATGAGAATGTCATTAGTTTGATTTTAGAACAATTTATTGAAACCAGTGACATTTTGAGCTAATGGTGATGCTGAAAGAAATGTCAGTGGATCACCAAAGTCATTTGCATTCATCCTCCGAGGAAGCTTAATATGTTTACACATTTTAATGGCAATCCATCAAATAACTGTTGAGATATTTTCTTCACTAACAAGAGTAGGACTGACAAACAGCCCGAAACTGCCATCATGGAGCCACGTCTCTTGCACGACTAAAGGGAAATGCTTGTTTAATGTTAGAGAAAATAGAAATGTTGTTCTTTAGTGGACACACTTGAAACTGACCTTAAGCTGTCACATTAGATTTACATTTACAGGCAGCAAGCATAGAGAACAAATACAGCCATACAAGCCGAAGAAATACGCTATTACAGCCTAGAGAAGCCATTGTATAACGTTAACATTGCCATTAACTCTTTATAAAATTGGCTGACATTAGCATATGTTCTCTGACTGACCAACCCACAGAAAGAAACAAACATAAAAACGTTCACAATATTGAAAACAGAAGTACAAATAATGTGCTATAAAGTTTCAGTTATGTTTTTCTTCAGTTTTGTTTCATTTATTTGTAAGCATGATATGGGACTATCTGGGTAACATGATGTCAGTTTGTCACATAACAGCAAACTTTGTTTGGTAAAGATGAGGTTTTGCACTGCATACTGCCAGCAACGACCTAAAAGAGTTTAGAAACATGGGGGGGGGGGAACCTAAAAAACAACCTTTTCATCATTGTATGTCAAGGCTTGGAGACAGAACGCAATGTGAGGCCATGATGGGAAAATAAGAAGTGACAGATTGAAAGTGACAGGTTGACAAATGTGTCAATGAAAAGAGACACCAGTGTGGAAAAAGAGGGGTGGGAGGATCAAAAGTACATGCATGGTTTTGTTTGTCTTCACCAGAATATATACAGGGGTCTGCCTTGGTGTTTGTTTTCAAGAGTACATATATCTTGATGGACTGTTGTAGTGTGTTTGTATGTATTTATGCATGTGTGCACATTTATTAGAGAATACAAGGGCCAGAGGGTCATACCACTTTCTGCCACTCTATGCATGTGTACTTTAAACAATGTGTGCATCTATTCACATGGATGTGAGTGGCAGTGCAGCGGGCCTTGCTGCCGTCACGCTGTGACATTTCCCTTGCTAGGGCTGCTCCCCTGACCTTTTCCTGGTGTCAGATCAATCTTGATTTAGCCAGATGTCACATTCACTTTGCTACACATCTATAAACGGGGAATCTGCAAGTGCGTTTGCAAAAACACAGACAAGCATGAAAAACTCATCTTCCTGACAAAGCAGACTCATCACGGGGGAGCACTGTGATTGTAATGTTTTCTTACATTGTGTCGATACGTGTAAATGTTGTGTTTTCACAGAATGCAATTTTCATGACACTTGAGAAAATTATGTACAGTAAGCTGTTCACATTCTATTCAAGAGGAATCAAGATGCTGTGTTTAACTGTCCAAAGGTGATACTACATTAACCCTTAAAGGCCGAGCGTGCCGCCCGCGGCTTCAAAGAGGTAGCGTTCTAAAATGCTTAATAACTTTGTAACCGCTAATCCTATCCATCTGATTTAAAAAGTGAGGTAAAGCGGCTATTCTAGGCTTTTTGCTGGTATCACTATGTCCTTTTCCGGGATTCAGAGGCTCCGACGTGATCGGGGCAACGTTATCACATTTTACAGCCTTGATTCGTCAAGGAGACCCACGCGGCCCCTCTGTCTGAGCCAAACAGCAAAGATTTTAGACTAAGTCCCACCCCCCTGTGTCCGGATAGGTTTAAAAGGGTAAAGGTCCAGGCAAACCTCTGCCCATGCTACCATCTTCTCGACCAATCAACATAGGTTGCTGTGTATGTTTTTGGCGGCGGGAGATAAACAAAGAGAAACAGAGAGACGAGAGAGTAATACTAAAGAAGAGTAATTCTGCCAGCGTAAGAGAAATAAATACAACACGAGATATCTAGATACAGTCACACACACACACAAATACACATACATACACACACACACATATCCCAAGACAAATTCAAACCAACATGTCAAAACGGCGTTACACTACGGAAGAAGCCGTAGAATTTATTTTGTCTGGCGGACCGCTTAGCGATGCAGCGGTGGATTCCTCAGATTCTGAAGCTGACAACTGGCAAGGAAGAGGAGTATGATCACGGGATTGATCCCTTCGAAGATAAAAAAGTGAGTAACTTTGCTTATTTCTTATTGTTTGTGTTGCATTTATCGGTTGTTGTTTCTGTATAACGCCGAAAAATAATTAGTCCTAAGAGTTTTTATAATGGATGGCCATTTGCCGTAATTGTGTCATAAAGTGAAGTCCTGAGCTCAAGATTCACTATCAATAGAGGCTACTATTTATTTCAGTAAAAAAACGTCAAGCAATACCTTTCATTTATTGCCTCATTCCGCTTGCCCTCTTTGGTTGTTTGTTATGAGGTCTAATGTTATTATATTCATTGCATTACAATTCAGTTACTGATTCCATCAACTAGTAATGTTAGCAGAGGGATAAAGTGTGAATCAAATCAAAAGTTGAGACTGTGTTTAGAAAACAGATAGGATGACACTGGAGAAATAAAAGCAATAAAGGAAATAAAATAAATTCAGACATTTATATCTGTATATTTTCCTCCCTTTTATTTTAGTACAGAGGATGAGAGAGGGGATGCACAAGCCCCTGTCCCCATCAGTAGGCCTCCTTCAAACCGAGAGGGAAAAGAATGCGGCCAGGAGGGTGCAGCATCCAGAAAAAAGGCCAAACCAATGCCAGCCCCCCTGACAGTGAAAGGGAGAGGAAGAGGAAAAGGGAAAAAAACATCTCTGACCCCAGAAGAGCCAGGAGCTGTTTGGAACGGACCTGAGGTGCCAGATACTGCCCAACAACTACCACACTTTTGCCCGAAAAGAGCCCCTGGAGTCCAAGGTTTTGTTGGTGTGGAGTATACTCCTGCACAAATATTTAGAAATTGTTTTAACAACCAAGCTGTAAATATCATCTGCAAGAACACAAACAAAAATGCTGAAAAGGAGCAGGCTAAGGGGGAAAAGTTTGTTTGGGAAAGCCGGTAAAATTCCTCATGTATGTCGGCCTTATGGCACTTCTAAAACTGCTAAAAGTAAGTGACTACTGGAGGAAGGGATCACACCTGAGTGTTCTCTTTCCTGCTTCTGTCATGACAAGAGACAGGTTCATGGCAATCAGCAGAGCTGTACATCTGAGCGACCCAGACCATGATGAATCTTGATACATTTCCTTTGCTCTTTATATATTTTTCTAATATTTTGGTTATAGTTTGAAGATCATTTGCTCTTTGTACTTTCGCACTTTCTATATATTCCTAATACTTTGTTTATAGTTTTAATATAATTTGCACTTTGTTAATTTGCACTTTGAATTTGTTTCACTGTTTGTGTTTGTATTTCAATGTTCAAATGATAATATATTTCTCTGAAACAAGTTATTTTTGTTGCAATGTCATCTGTTATGGTTTAATTGTTTACTCTCTCAACCTTTTTTTGACAGAAGAAACATGATCAGTCATTTAAATATGGAAATACATTTCGTTTTAATTATTCCATATGATCCTAGGCGTTTTTCACTGAAAAACGCCTAGGATAATATTGTAATAAATAGCTGTAACTTGCTCAGGGAACATAATATGCAGATGAAATTTAATTTGAAAGCCTAAAACATCTAAATGCAGCTTTGTAAATAATAAAAAAGAAAATCCCTATGTTCCTGGCGGAGTAAACAGTAAAAAAACACAACATTTGTACTGGCGTTTTTGAAAAGTGCTGGTAAATTCAGCCATTATCACACAAAGTTATGGTAAAATTTGGACTTCAAATTAGCCAGACTTGAACTAGAGGTTCTCCTGAATCAAATGAGGTAAGGCACTTGATGCTGACTGCAAGAAAAGGTTAGAACAGGTTAGGAGAAACAAATAAATACAGGAGAGTCAGGCAGGCGAAAATTCCGTCTAGGTCTTTAAGGGTTAATACAAAACATAGACCTGCTTAGACCAAAAAGCTATTTGAAAAATGTGTCTGATAATAAGTTGAATGATAAATAAAAAAACGAAACTTTTCTAGCATTTACTTTTAGAAAGCCTCCTGTGATTGTTAAAATCGTTTGGTAGTGTATTCTTTCAGTTGTCTTACTTTAAAACAGCAACCATCTGGCATCTCAATGAACTGTGACATTGTCAAAGTTCTCACCGATCATTTCAACACTTTTAGAGATGCAGTCTTTCAAACAAACTACATTTTTCTTAAAGGTCTACATTTGAAAAATACCCTCAATCATTTTACTAAACTTTCATAATGCCAATCACTCAGGGACATAGAAATCTATAAGAATGTCAACACAATCTCGAGCACTTGTCAGTCAAGCATTGTCTTCCTTTACCTTTGCACATTTAAATCGTGTGCACAGCCACTACAAAATATAGCAACCAGTCTTACAGATTCTTACTTGTACAGTATGTATGGATGTTGACAAACCATAAGGTTCTTTGCCCTCTCACCTTTGACATCCCATAGGGTGAAGTGTCGATTGCTGGAGCCTTCAGGGGCCAGGGTAAAGTAGAAGCGATGTCCAGATTGTGGCTCGTCTTTATCTACCACACTGATAGTGTGAATTAGCTAAGAGAAGAGAAGCACAGAAAGAAAATAAACAGGTTAGATAATATCCTCAGATTCATTCAATGGAAACGAATGAATACGAAAAGCACTTTAAACTTTCCATTTCAAATGCCTCTTTTATGAGGCAGGAAGGGAGTTTGAGTAAGTGTACTTGGATGCAACAGACTCCGAAGGCTTCCTGCGAAAGTGCAGTTCAAAGGGGCTACAGTCACAAAGAGATAAACATGTCTTCCTCCAGAAAGTTGACACAGCAACATGAAACAAATGTCTTAATGTTAGAAATAAAAAACTATTCTAAAATGCATGCATTCAAACAGTAAAAGGAGGATATATTGTGTTGGGCTGGCATGTTTTAGCTCTAAGAAAGAGCAAAGACTAGGTGCAAATGTGCAGAGAAAGAGAAAGAAAGATCTGCAACTAAGTGAGGGTCTAGTAGTCCTATCTAATGTCATATAATAATAGTGATCCACATTCAAAGATACAACTCAAGTGTGATCCAATTTTCAGAACTCTGTGTGGATACAATAAGGTGAGATATGATTCACTGTGATCTGAACAGACATCAAACAACCCCTGGAGATCCTTTCACATGAACACAGGCCTCTCAGTGACAATCCATCCTCCTCCAGGTCTATGAATCTGCAGCAAGCATCAAACCAAAAGCTGATAAATGATAGTTTCACATCCCATCTCTCAGCTCTGGTTCTGCTCTGCTGCCACACATTTCTTATTATTTTGATTCAACTTATCTTTGTTTACTGCACACTCCAACTTAAAGCAAGCCCTTATTGCCTATATTGAGTATTGTCTTTTGGTAAGAGATGAATGGGGAAAACAAAACCAAACAAAGTCTACTCAGCATAAAAGACATTTAGGGAAATTATTTTTCACTAACGGCCGTTACGAGAGCTGACATTGCACACCTAGAGCACTGGAGTAATAGTACCTGTAATTGTTGGAGTTATATTTATTTTCGAAGTTGCAATGCTTCAAAGAAGTTAGTTTGTCTTCTGTGTTGGTAACACATTTGCCTGCGCTGGTCTGCATGCATGGGCATACTGCTCTCAGAATGAGGTGTGGTTTGGCACTAATGTTTTGACACCCAAATAATAAAAGAACTAAATGAAACCCCTTTGCTTATTGAAACGTACTTTGCACCTAAATTGTGTGCCATTGAACTACATAAAGTGGATTTTGACATGCCCGTAGAGCAGCCATTACATTGTTTGTTTGTTTGTGGCCTTTATTTAACCAGGTGAAGCCCCTTGAGATCAAAAGATCTCTTTTTCAAGGGTGACCTGCAGGACATTAGTTACACATGTAACATAAAAACAACAGAACAACAATAAGGATGACATACAACATAATGTACAGGGTACAGTTTACAAACTCTATTTACAGAGACAGGTACCATGAGTATCAAACAGCATGTCACCCAGCTGAGTTTTAAAATGATGCAGGGGAACCAAAGTGCTCAGTTTTAAACATGTTTGCAGACTGTTCCAAGTTAGTGGAGCTGCACAACTAAAAGCTTTCTTCCCTAAGACAGTCCTAGCACTTGGCACATTTAATAAAACAACATCATGAGATCTCAGGCAATATGTACTTTCAATTCGTCGAGAGATCAGAGAGCAGATATAAAAAGGTAGTTTACCCAACATGGCTTTGTAAATGAACATGTACCAGTGACTGAGCCTCCGTACAGTTAGTCAAAATTGAAATGATTTGTTCTATGAATAACCATCCCTCCCGAAAGCAAGAAAAACCATCATATTTTATAAATCAATAGCAATCTGAACAATGGGTATGATTTCAGATTGCATGTTTGTTATATAATTTAGTTCTGTTTTAATCAACTTTTGTAGGAATACAAGCTGTTATTCCTGGTTCCTTTCCATGTGTTTGTGTGCTTCTCGAATGCACATATTGCAGCACGCTAAGGAAGCATCAATTGATTCACCCTGAAATCATGCCGTAGCATTTTGTATTACAAAGTAAGCCATATTATCCCAAACAACCTCCTTGAGCTCTGGGTATGACTAAGCCTCTTCTGTGTCAGGGATGCAACATCAATGCTGAGGAGCTTTTTATTGTGAAGGTACAATCGAGGCCCCGGGAAGTGTGCTCGGCAGTATCTTAGTCACAGTAATGCATGGGCATCATTCAGAGTTGTGTGCATTGCTACAAATGAATGAGGCTGTCTTGAACAGGCAGGCAACCTGAGCCTTTAAAGTTGCACAATAAAGCAGATGTCTTTACTGTATGTGCCAGAAGGTTATGGATTGGACACGTGTTTCTGTAAAGGACAAGCGTAAGAGTGAAATGCTTTGGAGAAGATAAATGCAAAGGACAAATATTCATAGGAAAAGAAAATCACAGTGATGAATAGAAAGGGCAGGTAGAGGAGGCATGTAAATACCAACCCGGTATCACGGTGAGACGTGAACATGTGACGCTTTACCATTGCTGGGAGATGTGAAGATGTCACGGTTTCGTCTTTTCAAAACGTGAAAAGCTGACAGCTACACGGTATTGTTAACCCATGTTAACCAGTGGAGAAATACCCGGAAGTGCCAAGCAAATGGTCTTCCGCGCCTATTGGTCGGTTTTTATTGTCAAAATTAGATGTTTTTAATTTATTTTGTAATCCTCACACTCGATTTCGCCGATTTTCTTGTGGCTCTAGCTGGTCGAGACCTCTTTCAGCAGAAACAAAGGCTACGATGTTAATCCATTTGTGTTGTTGTGGAAATAACGGACGTGACGTTGTGTGATCTCTTAGCAACTGAAGTCCGTGAAATATAAACACCACTAAGGTTCAAGGGTCAAGGGTCAAGGGTTGTTGTTATCAGATGCTAGCTACAGTGTAATTTTCAACCCGGTATCACGGCAAGACGTGAACATGTGACGGTTTACCATGCTGGGAGATGTGAACATGTCACGGTTTCGTCCCCTTCAAACGTGACAGCTACACGGTATTGTTAACCCATGTTAACCAGTGGAGAAATAACCGGAAATACCAAGCAAATGCTACCCCCGACGTAATGATTTATTTTTTAATAGTCACACTCGATTACAGCGATTTTCTTGTTGCCCCAGCTGGTCGACACCTCTTTTAGCATAAACAAAGGCTACATTAATGTATTAAATCGATGTTAATCCATGCGTGTGGATGTGGAATTAACGGACGTGACGTTGTGCGATTGAGTTGCCAAGCAACAGCTTCGGTTCATGTTCATTTACAAACTATTCAACTACAACCGTAGTTATATTTAAAAACATGTTAGAAGGCCTCACGAAATACTTTAATGCACATTAAAATGTAAATGTGAAGGAATGTGTGTATAACAAAATACATCGGTCATTAAACGAAACCGGAAACAGACGTAGGCAAGATCCTCAGCTCGATGA